CCAGGGAAGTGGTTGAGTCTCCATCCCTGGAGGTATTTAAAAGACGGGTAGACGTGGTGCTCAAGGACATGGTTTAGTGGTGGACTTGGCAGTGATGGGTTGACGGTTGGACTCAATGATCTTAAGGGTCTTTTCCAACCTTAATGATTCTATGATTTTTAGCCTTTCTTAAATACATTACCAGAGGCACCACCAGAGTCACTGATGGGCTTGGCTTTGGCCAGCAGTGAGTCCATTCTGGAGCTGGCTCTGACATGGGGGCGGGTCCTGGTTTCTGCAGCACCCACCTCCCACCCCACTACCAAAACCTTCCCACATAAACCAAATACACACAATTAACCCCATCTGAATCAATCTCTCTCAGTCCTTCATCTACCATGTGCGCACCAGAAAATTTCACCTCTCAAATGGTCTTAAATTATTGCTTACTAATTTCCCATGAGATATATATATTAAATATAAAGTATATTTTCCCACTTCAATTTACATCAGTGAACAGCTGTGGTCACAGATGGGTTATAATCTACTGTTAGCACAGTAGACTAGACTAGACTTGCAAAAGGGGACAAGACTCCAAGTTTGAATGCCCCTGCTCTACAAAAATACACAGCTGTAACAAGGATCTGCTTCTTTGCATAAGGCAGTCTAACTTTTCTTGTTCGAGCAAACAACTAGTTAGTATGAAGAGCATCAACACAGCTAAATGTCTATTAGGAGCATTTTGAACAACGCAATGCAGTAGCCTTTCAGCTCACTGAAATAAGCAGCATTTGTGTCACGCAGGATACATACAATATTTTATTTATCAGAGCTGTACAAGTATTCAAAGGTAAAATAAAAAATTCAGGATAGTCAAAGTACTTGTCATAATAGTTGGTGAGATCCAGCAGGCTGGCGTGACAGCCACAGCACAACCCGCATCAGTTCAGGAGAACGTCGATCGTTTATTGCCCCACTAGTTACTGGCGGAAAACTGGCACACAGAGCAGTTACACGTAACAACCTACAGCCAGCCTCTGCGAGCAGCCATCTTCCCGCCCACAGGAGCCACCGCTGCCAGAGGGGCACGTTCATTTGCAGGGGATCACTTTATTTCCACTTACAGCAACCGGAATCAGGAGCTTCCTGTACTCCAGAGGGAGGTAACGCTCTATCAGCACATGCAACGGCATCTTGTCTGTCACCAGCCCTTGTCTTTGTTCAAAAAGAGAGCAGAGAAGACCAGAGAATTGTTAGCAAAAAGTGTTTCCACTCAGACTTAACGTCAGAGTAAAGTTTTTAAAGTTTTCTTGCAGTGACATTTTTGCATTTAATAGCTGAAAAGCTGTGACTGCTTGTGACAGAAAAGCTATAGACTTCTATTTGCGGGCAACTTTCTCGGGTGATGCACTAGGTCCTGCGTACGGTGCAGGCACCAGGCTTGCCTCAACATGGAAGTGGACCAAGAGGGTTACTGCAGACCAGCCTCCCACAGAGGTACGTGTTTATCACAGTGAGAGTAAGCATATTGATCTATACCAAAGTATAAGCTTGTTGCTTTTTAAATTTACAATCTACCTGCCACAGGATAAATTTTGCCAGTTAAAGACATGCACACAATGATGTAACAGAAGCAAATAGCTCATTACCCAGCAGATTTTTTTACATTCACAATTCAGAGGTGGTTGGCATTTTCCACCTGTGCAGGCCATGCAGTTTTCTAGTACACCATTTAGCTGATTGGCCTGAAAAACTCAGCATCTCCTAGTCTTGTAGAGAGAAAAAAAAGCAGCATTTATTCATGCTTTCCTTGTGGAAGAAACAGAAATACTGTTCTTATTCACAAACCAGCAACAATTCCTGATCCCTTTATGAGGCAGCGGAAAGGCATAAAGACATCTAGAAAAAGGTACAACACCAAGCGTACAGAATCCTCAAACCTGGCCAACTAAGCCATTGCACCTCTCAGCCTGTTCATACTCATTTCAGCACACACCTGTCAGGTGGGAAAATGACAATCTCTGGACAAGGACAGAACAGATTATTCAAGCAGCAGCACCAGCTCCATCTACACAGGCCCGTGCAAAGCCAACGCCTTTAATCAGACATGCCCGCAAAATCCCTCAGATGACTTTAGCATCACATCTGAAACTCTCCCAATGGAGACAAGGAATAACAACTTGGAGTAATGACTTTAAATGAGGAGCGATGGATTTGTTTCAGGCCCCACAGGGTTCTACAGAGGGCTCCCAAGCACAGAACAAATCCCTTGCATTTTGGTCACAGGACAAAGTAAATTCAGTCATGAGACAGGGGAACTGAGGGAGCCCACAGGAAAGAGCAGCAGTGGAGAGGCTCTGAGAACAGTTCATCCAGGCTGCTGGCCAGCCTGCCCCTCTGCAGGGTCTTGAAGGGGCAGCACGAAGGGCAACACAGTTGTTAGGAGAGGCCAGCGCTGGCCTGCCAGCCTTTTCCTGCTCTGGCGAGGAACTGTCAGTTTGAACCGTTAGTATCAGCTTTTGCAGAAGCAGGAAGAGCAGGATTTTGTTTGGAAGAGCAAGTCACCAAAACACAGAGCAGGGCATGTGAAAACACACTATTTCAGTTGCAAGCGCTGTGAGCAAAGAGATCGTTCAGGGATGCAAACGGCACAGCCCAGCCTCACACTTACTGTTACTCTGCTTTTTCTACTGACACCACTCATTTCCCAGCTACAACTGCTTCACCCTTGCACACGTTCCCCTCCTCTTGCTACTTGTTCTTCAGACTCCTCCTGCACTCCCAACCCCTCAGTACTTCCTCTTGCCCCTCCACCACCTTCATTGTCGAGCAGAAACACCCAAGTCCATGAGTGCCCTCCTGAGACAGAAGGCCAAGTGGCACCATGCAGATTAAATCACAAGATACCACACTTAACCATGGAAATACTTACTGCTAGTGCACACCCTGGCAAGGACAGTCTCACAGGGCTATCAAAGCACCACTGAACACTACTACAGGTTAATAATGACCCTCCCTTTACCTTCTCATGAGGACTTCCAGGTCAGCCATCTCCACTGTCTTCCTCCCTGCATGCTTGCTGTAAGCTTCCAGATCGTTGCTCAGCTGCTTGAAGTATCTCTCAGAGCTGAAGTAGGATTGAGGAGGGAAATAAATCAGGCTGTGGAGTGTGTGAACTTCTATAGGGCAAGATGCACTACAGCTGCTCGCTGTGCAGGTCACAGCCTGCCAGGGAAAACTGCGGGAGAAAAAGCTCTCCAGCCCACGGAACAAAGTATGGCTTCTCAGCCTGGGCTCCCTGGAACTTCACAGCCAAGATAGCTGTGAAACAGCTGCACATTTGACAACTGGAACCTTTCCCAAAATTCCCATGCATGTAAGAACAGTGGTTAACCCAAGTGAAAAATCAGCACTGAGGACTGAGTAGACAATCACAGCTCTTACGGTGACACTGTTCAAACATTCTGCAGATTTTACTCATGAAGGTAACATGGTCTATGGTTTCAAAAAGCTGAGAAACCTGCATTCAGACATATTGAACAGTAAGCGCACAGCTGGAACAGCTTCACCTTGCCCAGCACGCTGACTGTTCTCCAGAGCTATCCCGCTCACAGAGAGTGCCAATGATATTAGTGTGCTGTTAGCTAGAGTAGATTGTGAATGTGAATCTGTACTGGTTGGGACAAAACTCAGAAGCTCCTGCAAGGTTGCGCTGGTCACAGATGCCCCCCCCACAGCGGCCAAAAGCACCTAGCACATTTCTGTCCTCCTTTTAATCAGACCTCCTGTGACTCTCCCAAGCTGAATAGGGAGGGCTGTCAGCTTGTCAGCAGCACTCCTGACAGGTCTGTTATTTCAGGAGAGAAAAGATTGAAAAAAAGACCAAAAAGAGTGGGAAGAGGAGCAGTTTGTTGCTGCTTACCATTTTTCAACAATTTTAATTGCATCTCTGGCCACTGGCATTTTCACATAATGGCTAAATATCTTCTTTATCAAACTACTTGCTACTTCAGGCTCACGCATTTTCCTCTGTGACGCTCCCGAGCTCTTTGGAACTGGCTTAGCTCGCAGCATCTGCAGGGGAGACCTTTGAGGGAAATTGAAAATTCACACATCAAATGAACAAACACGGGGGAGAGGCAGAGAATACCAGGCTGAGTTTGGGCAAACCTTATGCTGAATTGGAAGGGGTAAGAGCTACCTCAAGCTCTTAATTCTTTCTCCCTCCCAATCCTTCAAATCCCTCATGCCCACGAAATACAATTCACATGGCATTATGGCCTTGGGAGAAGCAATCCAGGCTCAATTTTTCAGAGATAAGCATGCTAGCATAACAATTAATCAGCAAACTATAGTTCTCTCCAATACATAAATGCAGTCTTCACTGCATCCCTGTAGTTTTCACTCTCCAAGAATGCACAAAGTTTGATGCATCCACAGGCTGCCTCTCTATCTGCAGACAGCAGAGTCTCGTCTGCAGGGTATACGCAACAATTTTTGTCTGTGCACAAGACTCACCAGAAGCTCCTCTTTTGATTCAATCTCCTTCCACAGAACAGATGTCCACACCAATTTTTAAACTATTATGAACAGTTTGTTTAGTGGGGTTTTTGGGGGTTTGTTTCGTTCGGGTTTTTTCCTTAAACAAGACTAAGTCCCAAAGGAAACTACTACTGTTTTCCATTCTAAAGAGGAAAAATTGTAATATGAAAAGGAGAAGTGAAATCCCTGGATTCACCCGGTAGACAAATGGAAAACAACAGAAAAGACCTGGAATCTCAGGCTAACGCATGCAAAACCCACAGACGGAGTGCATGTCTCATTTCATTCTCTCTCCAACCCACCTGCACATTTCTCTGTCAGAACCTCAGGGGCAGCTGGAAGAGATCAGCCCCCGAGATGAAGTACGCATAGCAGTGAGAAAAAAACCCAGCCATCATTTAAGTCATCCTGGTTACTGTTTCTATGCCTCAGTTTACCCATTTGTGAATGATTATATACGAATGTTTGGTTCACAGGATCAGGGCAAAATTGAAGTTTAGTGACTACATGAGACTTTGGTGTTTTTGAATGAAAAGTTCTGTGGCCCTAATCTGGTATAGTTGATCACAGTAGAATTGTACCAGTATAGAGAGATTATTTTATAGCAGAATGCCTCAACCGTGGCTCTCACGTAGGTTATTGCTCCACTACATAACCTAGAGTATTCCTCAGGCTTTTAACCTGAGCATTGCTATCTCAGGAAGCAAGCAGGCCAACTCAGGGTCAGACTGCGTTACATTAAGTGCAAACAAACTGTGCATTTTTTGTGCAACAACTTTCCGCAGTCTAGGCTCTGAACCTGTAATTACGATCATGTTACCTCAGTACAGCTTGAAAGCCTGAAAATCTGTCAGTCAATTAACATCCAGAAATTCCAATAAAGAATGTGCATCCAAATACATGGACTTTTTTTTGCCAATGAGGACTAGCACTCTCTACGAAAGAATCAGTATTCAGACATTCCATATATCTCTATATATATAAAAAAAGAGCATGTCCCAGTGCAAAATCCCAAAGCAAATCTGCATTCATTCAGTTCCACTTCAGCAGAGCATCAAAGACTTCTTTTTCTATTTTATAAATATATTTTACTATTCGTGACTAGAGCAATCATCCGGCACCTTCTGTAAGCATCATTCATCTCTATTCACAGCAGTAAAGGGCACAAGAATTTGGTTTTATTGTTTATTGCTTCAATAAACAAAAATCTAGAGTCATGGGCTAGAAAATTCCTCCTGTTCCCTGGGACCCAGTGTTACTGGTTCTGATGAAGCACAGGGCTTCACCAAATTTCTAGTTAAGAGGGTGACAAATGTTAATTAATTTGGAGCAATGCAGAGGACAGGTTCACTTTCTGCCTCTAGGCAAGCTTCATTTTATACTCAGCACATGGCATACAGCTTTAGGTTTCTAAGGTCAATACAAATATGTCATTTCGTGTGATCAATGTAACACAATCTGTAATTCCCGCTGTTCTGCAAGGGCCTCTGCATCCCATACTGGAGTCTATGGCTCCAGGGTAGCTTAGCAGTTGAAAAACTCCTACGAAAAGGTTTTGGCCTTCAGCGGAAGAAAATATTACAAGAACATTCACTGGAAAGACCTGAGGCACCAGATCTGCTCTGGGAGAGTACTGACATTCACTTGATAGAACTCTTTATTCAACGGCTAAAGCAGTGAATGAACTAAAGACTTCAGGACTCCTTACTCCCTGCTACAGCCGACAGAACACAAAACAACTGACAAACCTGGGCTCGGCTCTCTCCCCCTGGCACTTACACCCCCCAGACACACTTCTACCAGGCCACTGCTGAAGGTGGCTTATACTTACTTGGGAGCAGCAGGTTTTGCAGGACGTGGAGTTGACAGCAGTGGCTTGTAGGCTGCAGCACGGACAAACGTGGGCGTCTTCATGGAAACCTCTAAGGGAAAAAAAAGTACTTGAGGAACTGAACTCTATTTTCAGAGTTCCTGCAGCAAGCAGTGCTGCAGCAGCAGACAGATGCCCAGCCAGCTTTCCACACATCTGGTCCAGTGCCACGCTGCCTGCACTCAGGCTATGGCTCCATGGCACCCTGAACCAGCGTGGCTGCTGGCTGCAGCAATTCCACCCACCCTGCCTCCTGCCACACAGGCTGGTGGCTTCCCTCACATCGGGTCCGGCCCATCAGCCCCCATGCTGGGCCAGCAGGCTGGGCAGCATGTAGGAACGCACATTTGGGGCCAGGCTGCAGGGGCTGATGGCAGAGTCGACTTCGGCTGCCAAGAAGCTGCAGCCTCTTTTCCCAGAGAGAACTTCAAAGTCTGCAAGCTACCTCATTGCCATCCTGCTAAATCAGCGGCAAATTCTCCTGAATACAGGGACGAGCAGACCAACAAAATCACATTACAAGGGTCAGTCTATAAGCATCTCCCATATTCACAGATTTTCATAAATTCCCTCCAGCTAAGGCTCAGGTTATAGTCAGTACGTCACCTCCTCTTTGCTGTGAACTACCCATATCAGTTTCCTCCAAGTCTAATCTGCATCCTCTAACTTCACTGTTGAACTTCTTCACTTCTCAACAAGCAAGAGCAGGAAAGAAAACAATGTTAACAGAACTGAAATGCTGAGCAGCTTCCTGTCTAGAAGACGAGTGGTCATGGAGGGCTTCTTGCCTGCCAGTTTCCCTTGCAAGCTGAGCGCAGCCCAAGAATCCAGCATGTCTGGTAATAGTGTCAACTTTGCAACCCTCCCTAAGAGCTAAGACACCTGTCCCATTATAGAAGACAAGCCCAACTACTAGAGGCCTCAAGTACTACTTAAACTCCGCAACTCAAAGGAGCAGGAGCCTCTCTGAGAAAGCAGGGCTGGGTGAACTACCGTGGTTCCTCGCACTAGCTTCTTCTGAAGAAATATTTCTGTGTGCTGGAGGGACAGGGAGCAGGATGCAGGGGAAGAGACTAGTTATGCTGAGGTTTCCAAGGTAAGTTTTATGACAAGAGTGCATAATTTTTCATCTTTTCTTCCTGCTTTTCTTCCTCTCCTTGTCCAATGAGACCTGTAAGATGCTACTCTTACTGTCCCACCCTATCAGCAGAGATCCCTTCATTAAGACCTTTCCATCTCTTCATACAGCTGTGTTAAAGATAAGCATATTGACACACTATTGTAGACACCCTAAGAACACCTACAGCTTTCCTTGTGGCAAAAGTGTACCAGTTCAACAGTCGTCTTTGTGCCTTCCACACTGCACAAATACATACAGGCATTGATATTCTCATTACAGCTGTATTTCCCCACAATGCCTCAAATCCTGGCAACTGGATTCTTTTAGGATGTCCTTAGTTCAGGTTTTTTTTACTTCAGGGTGTATTGTGCTTCGAAAGACTTTAAAACCAGTCCCAAAAGACACCACTAAAACACACTCTGGGCATTCTCAAACGTGGCCTTGATTGAAGAGAACTCAGTCTGATGTAGATGTTCTTCCAAAAGGCATAAGCGCTCTTGGGACAACAGAGCAGACTGATGCAGTGTCTGAAGAACTGTTCAGAAACAGACACTTCCTCTCAGCTTTCGGGAAAGCCAGCCTACTCTCTTGGTTAACTGGAAAGGAAATCTGTAACTACAGGTACAAAATATGGGGTTCTAAAGTAGGTTTCAAGTCTGGAGTAATGTAATTGGCTGTGGAAACAGCAGTTCAATGCTAAGACATTAAAACAGCAGCATGAAGTTAGGAGTTAGGAAGGAAGGAAGAATAAAATGGAGGATATCCCTATGTCACTGCATAAAACCACTTTGCACTCAGTTTTGTCTATTTGTGCACTTCCATTACCTTCACCTCAAAAAGTACAAGATGATCTCAGTTCCTGAAGCACCTAATGAGCCAGTAACAATCTGGCCCTAGGAATAGCAGCCAACAGCTTCCCCTGGACTATCTGATGGACTAAACAGTTAATAGCGTTATTAACCTATGTTGTTTCTCAATCTATCAAGAGGTAACAGGGAAAAATTTCTCCAACTGCTTTCTGCTACTGCTGCAATAGTTTTCTTACCTTGACTCTCAGGGTCTTCAGCTTCATCCTCAGTAGACTCCTCTTCTGGATCATCCAATTCTACCATAATAGCCTGGTCCTCTAGTTCATCTGCTTGTTCAACAGCTTCCTTTAATGGCTTCGTCCCAGATTTTTCAGAGGAGGAAAAAGCATGAGAATGCCTGCCCAGACTTCCAGTATCTTTGGCAATCTCACGTTCTAGATTTTCAAAACAGGAAAAATACACCACTGAAACAAGTATCATAGCCAAAATTTCAGAGCACTCATAAGAATGAAACCCAACTTTCCATTCCTGGCAACATTGCCACCTATTATATTCCTATCTTCAAGGATTAGGGTGTCAATACACTAAGCTAGATAAGCTAAAGCACTGATGAATAAAGCACTGAACTTTTTCCTCTGCTACATCTAGGTGTGCAGAGGTCACACAAAAAAATAGCACTTGGTAGAGAAGCCCATGAGATTTGAGTGAAATTTTTATCTGAGCTCCTTTTAAATGAGCTTCCTTTAATAAGAACTTTTATCTCAAAAGAAGTCTTACGAAAGCCTTAGTGCAGCACGTTGAACACAGGAGACCCTGCAATTCAGGAAAAGTAACTTGGGAGACCCTGATGTGCCAACACACTCAGTAGGTCTCCAAATTTTAATCAATCTTTGCCTGACTCTGGAACTTCCACTAGTAAATTTTAATTAAAAGATGCCTTCTGCAATTATATATTTCTAAACACTATTGCCAATGCAATTTTGGTTTCCATTTGAGCAGAATGTGGTCTTTCAGCTTAACATGCCAACATTAGTTTGATATTTTCCCAGTATCTAGCCCAGATTCCAGAATGGAAAGAGAGTTAAGACTCGCTCCCAGCACTGATGCCACTAATACAGCATGAGAGGTATTTGGCATTAGAAATAGTCTTCAGATCAGAGGTTGTCCTCACCAGCTTCGGGAGAGCCTTGGTGTTCAACACTGCCTTCTGCTATTCCCTCTTCTTCTGAAGGGGCCATTTCTGTTCTGACTCTAGCATCCTGTGCTGTAGTTATCTGCGATTCTGCTTTTTTGGTCAGCTTCTTCTCCAAATGTTCAGAATATCCAGCATTCGCATGATGCTCTGCATCTAAGATAGGAAATTCTATCATCAATCTTACCTACAAAAAAAACCCCAATCAACCACCAGCATACAGTTTAACAACCACTAAAATTTACTCATGATAAGTAAACTCAGCAATAGCCATAAGCTATAAATAAGAGAAGCAGATGCAGTTCCCTTCCAAAAGTTTACAGCTGAAAAATGCACAACTTCTCCTGTGTTTGCTCTACAGCCACCTAATTAGTGCGCACGTCAGATCCCAACGAAGGAATTGTACTTATCAGTATGCAGAGCTCCTCGAGATCTGCCATCTCTACGTCTAATCTCACTTTTGGTGATTGTGTGAAAGGCCAATTTGTTTTCCTTTAAATCTAACAATACACGGAGTCTGTGCTCAGATTCTCCTCCCCATTTCGTCAGTTTTTCTGAATAAACAAATTTGGAAGAGACACATTGCACTACAAAGAGGAGAGCGCCTAGCAGTGGTTTTAACCATCCCAGACAAGCCTCTAGCAGGCAGGATGAGGAGAAATAAATGGGCATGTGATTTGCATGTCTTTAAAAGCTTCAGCTACTGAAGTAGCTACCGAAGTACTGAAGAGTACTTAAGTACTCCTCTTCCCTAC